CCTTGGCATGCCATCCCAGCACATGCCTTGGCATGCCATCCCAGCACATGCCTGTCTACCCCAAGAGTACTACCACCCCCCTATATATACATTCTGCACAAAAAGTAAAGTGACAGGAACAGACATTAATTTTTTGAGGAATCATAATTTTCGAAGGCAAGCACGTCGTCAGGCCACGCTTTCAGGTCGCCGTGCGGGAAACAAGGGCAGCGTGCTAGGCAACATGCCATGATGTGGGGCGCTTCCAAGGCAGCATGGCTTGTTTACTAGGCAACATGCTGCAAGGTGTGGGGCGTCGATCGATTAACTAGCAAACATCGTTGTCGTTTATAGGCATCGTGTGGGGCATTTACAAGGCATCGGGCTTGTTTTATAGGCAATGGGGCTTGGGGAGACAGACGCCTTGCTTGTATAGGCTTTAAACCTCGCGTCTCGTGTGCTTCCATCTGACCCTTGCTTGGGCACAGGGGTTGCTCAAGCCCCTGGTCTCCCCTATATATACATTTTGCACAAAAAGTAAAGTGACAGGAACAGACATTAATTTTACGAGGAATCATAATTTTCGAGGTTTGCTGGTCGTCGAGGCACATTCACTAGTCGCTGGGCATGAAATCACGAGTAGCTGTGCGAGTGGGCAGGCAACATGGGGGGGGAGGGGCGCTTGGTGGGGGGGAATGAGGGGAGATGGGCGCTTGTTCTCGGTCATCGTTGGGGCATTTGAGCTGTTATACGCACGCCACCAGCCTCCTTTGGCTTGGGCGCTGGCATGCCTTGCCCGGGCATGGGCTGCTCAACACCCACCCCTCCCCTATATATACATTTTGCACAAAAAGCTAAGTGACAGGAACAGACATTAAATTTTTGAGGAATCATAATTTTTCAAAACCCCATCAAACGACGTCGGATTGGCATGAAATTTTGCGTGAGACCTCGGTAACGTGTTTTAATGGGTTTGGATGAAAAAAAATTCAGTTTTCGGGTCCCGAGGGCCCGTTGGCCCGGCTCGGTCGGCCCGTGACGCTTGTTTGGCGTGGATTGTCCGTAACCCCATGAAAGAACGTCGGATCATCCCGAAACTTTACGTGGCTGTTGTAGGGCCCAAGTAGGGTCGTTTCGGGTCACGGGCCGATTTGATCGGGTCAAAACGTTGACTGGGCTCGGGTCGGGCCCGAGGGGCCGTGTGGTTAACCATAACCGTATCAAACGAGGTCGGAACGGCACGAAACTTCATGTGAGCCATCAGGACAACTTGACGGTGGTCTTGGGAAAGAATAATCTGGATTCGGGCCCACGGGCCTGCGGGCCCGGTACGTCCGTTTTCACGGGATTCTTCGTAACACCACCGAACGACGACGGATCGCCACGAAAGTTGACACCGTATCTCACAGGCATTTTTATGGTGGTATCGGGCCATGGCTTCACGTTTCGGGTCAACGTGCCGTTGGGCTTTGGGTCGGGCCCGTAATGCTCGGACCGACACCGAACTTTGTACAGGTTGTTCACGGGACATTCTTACGTGGTTTGCGATCACGACTTCACGTTCTCGGGTCTGTTTTTTATTGGGCCTTGTTCGGGCCCGATGTGTCGTTCGGCCTTGGATCGTCCCAGTTGTACTCGTATCGACACCAAACTTTATACAGGCGTTCTTACGGTGGTATCGGGTCACGACTTCACGTTCTCGGGTCAGGTCTTCGTTGGGCCTTGTTCGGGCCCTATGTGTCGTTGGGCTTTGGGTCGGGCCCGTTGTGCTTGGGTCGCCACGAATAGGTCGCATGGACGTTCACGCGCATGGTTCCTGGTCGTTCTTCCCGGTGGCCAGACATCTTGGACCTGTTGCCTGGTAACGTGTTGGAACGACGTGTGGCGTGTGTCAGGCCATTG